TAGTCAAATCCCACTTTGGTCCCTACATATGAAATTGTGGCAGTCAACCCTCTGTATTTTTGGTCAAATCTTACTCTGGTTTCTACACAACTGTCAATGTCCCCTTTATGTTACTCAATTGTTTAATTTTTTAACAAAATCTAATCATGTGACAAGAATATGACTATGACATGAGGGTAAGAGAGGAAAATCATCTACATTTTCCACCAATACACACTTTGTCCCAAAATTAATATCAAATTATGATTATATTAGGTTAAAACAAAATGCAGATTGTGAACAACTAAGAAGATGAACTAGGGTTTTGCATAAATTGGAATCATGAAACTCTGTTATTCACGGTAACACTGTCTATTCATCTTCCTTTATCTTTGATTTCTTTGTCGCATTTTTAAAAAAAAAAAATTCAAAAGCTATATTATTTTGCCTTTTCGTCCTAATTTTTAGCATACAATATATATATAGTATTATATAACTCTCACATGCTTATCACGTACGATAAAGAATATTGGTGGGAAACATAGATAATTTTCATCTCTCACCCTCATTTCGTAGTCACATTTTTGTCATATGATTGGATTTTGTTAAAGATTTAAAATGAAGTAACAAAAGAGATACATTGACATTTGTGTAGGGACAAATGTGGGATTTGAGCAAAAGTGCAGGGAGTTTATTATCACGATTTCATGAGTAGAGACCAAAGTGGGATTTGACCAAAAATACAGGGGGTTGACTGTCATAATTTCATGTGTAAGGGATAAAGTGGGATTTGGTACAAAGTACAGGGATACAAAATGTAATTTACCCAAAAAGATTTGTGTAACACTACATATTTAAAGGACTTATTTATTGTTTGTTGTTTAAGATAAGATTGTGATCTCAACAATCTAGCTATAAATTAATGTTTATGTTTATAAAATTTCTCATTTATCATTTAAATTAGTCAACCGAATATATATTCATTTCTTCTTAATTGTATTTTGGGTACAAATCAATTTACCCATATAAGTCTCTATATTTTGTACACATATCACATACCAATTTAAGAGACACATATACTTATAATACTAAAAGTTGATGAAAAATTAGATATCACGTGCAACGCACGTTTCAAACTACTAGTAAGTTAAAAATATATAAATAAAATTATATGATTGCATTGAACTTTATCATTTTAAAATAAATTGTTCATTTAAATGGCATTGAATTATAAAATTATTGTTGTCACATTAAACAATTATAAAAAAAATGTTATTGAATTATAAAAATTCTATATAAACAATAGTTTTCCTTCAACAACAAATGTACTCTAACACTATGTTTGATTGAGAAATTTACGAAAAGATTTGAAAAGTGAAAAAGAAAAGATAGATGATTTGTGAATAAAATATACTTACATTTTATCTAATTTCATATACATTTTTTCTTTTTCTTTTCAAATTCCTTCATAAATCTTCTAACCAAACATAGACTAAAGAAAACATCTCCTTTAGTAGCTTACAATTACGGGTATTTAATCCCTAATCACATCTCATTCATTGACTTCTCAACCTCACGGCGTCCATAAAATTTAATCTAGTTTGTTTTCTAGTATTTTTGTTTCTGTGTTATTTTTTAAAAAAAATAATAAGAAAAAGTTTTTTTTAAAAAAAAAAAACTCTATTTAGTTTAACTTAAAATTTGCTTTCTAGATATTTTTTGTTTAAAAAATATCAACCAATTTGGTAACAATCATATGAAAGTGAGAAAATTATACGAAATTGTGCTCGTACCCTATTTGGCACAACCAATAGGAAGCTGGCATGTGACACTAAAAATCCAAAGAATGATAGGCAAACAGACACATGGCAACGCTACTGTCAAGGTAATGGGTAGGTCAACCCATGGCCGCAGGTCCCCATCCAATTATGAGTCATCATGAAGTGAATAGATATGGTCAACTCAGCAGTTATAAACTTCTCACGACCATAACCGCCAGGCAGCTTTAAGTAGCAAGAAGGATCTATCTATGATGCATGCCACTTGTTAAGTTTTCAGTACTTCTCGATAGTGAAATCTATCATCTCAATTAATGTGTTACAGTCGATAAAAGCACATAGAGAGAGACGTAACAGATTACCACAAAGACATGTGGGGGTCGAGTAAAAGTGATTGTTCAAAACTTGTTCAGAGGATGTCAAAAGATGAACACTGGCGAGGATAACTCGGCATGACCAGACTCATCTGAAGGCCGAGTAGAATCTATCCAAGGGCCTAGTATTCCGTGATTCTTCTGACACATGTGGAGGTCTCGGATGTGATGACGAAAGGTAATGATAGGAAAGTGGGCCCCTAGAGTGCAGTATAAAAAGGAGGAGCTTTGGTCAAACTAAGGTATGTAAAAAAAAAGAAGAAAAATGAGATAACTTGAAATAGAAGTAAGACTTGAGAGAATACTGACTTGTCCGTCGGAGTGCTAATTTCAGCACCTCCGATCAGAGTATTCATTCCTTTTTTCAGGTAGCAATTTGATCTGTCAGGATCAAAGAGTATTTCCAAACCACTTTATTACAAGACACAATAGACTAATAAAAGACGAATTAACTAAAATTATGAAATAGTTGTCAGATAGAGAAGGAAGTGCAAATGTGATGCAAGGATATGGCACCAACTATCCACCAAAAAAAAAAAAAAAGAAGAAGTGGACAATATAGAGGAAAAATCATGGGACACAGGGTAGGCTATCATAAAATGTTAATAAATAAAAAAAAAAAATATAACCAAATAACTGTCAGCAGCAGCACTATAAATACTTATGGAGGGGACATGGCAAAATGTCCAACACCAATCAAACCCAGGGCCTTTATCTTTTACGTTCCTTAGTTTCATTAAGTTAGAATATTCAAATATGGAAGCTACTTTTGTTCATTAATAGAATAATTTATTTTATCTTTTTTCCATACAAGCTCTGCACGCTCTTTCTTATTTTTCTGTCAAAGATAATAACTTTTATTCAAATAGGCAATGAATCAAACTACACAACCATTCCCTGTTCAAGGAGTCAAATAACCATGACAAAGTGAAAACCCCATTCACGCATAAAAAATAGTGAAATCCTCCTCAATAAAGGAAAGAAAGAACATCAGTGGTGTTTTCCTTTGATCACCAACGAAGGTTTAATATTAGAAATTAGATTGAGCAAATCGTGCAATTCGATCTTAACATGTCTGCATTTATATTTTTCAATCATTAAGTTGTTCAATTGTTTTCTTTCCAGACAAACAAAATGATGATTGCTTTTATTTATTTGATTTTTTTCACCAAATTATTTTAATTTTTTTTTAAAAAAAAAAACTAGGATACAATTTTTGAAAATGAAATTAAAAGGATATATTATTTTCATTTTGTATGATAACAGTTTTCTAAAATATATTACCTAATCAGTGATTTGTTTCAGAAAGGTTTTACAAAAAAATCTCTCTGAAAAAATACAGATAAAAAAGAGTGTTGTTATTAGCACTCTATCAATTATTTTGAATCCCTCATTTTTTAGTTTTTTTTTATTACAATAATAACTTCAAGTGAAATTACTAAAAAGAATATCAATAATTTTGGGACACTCCATCTTACAATTAAGTCTACATATCCACTACATCATAAGTTACGGTTTATGAGAGCACCTACATCCATCACCATCCATCCATTTTTCCTAAATCCCATCTTTAAAACCTACATCCACCCTCAAAACGTTAAAAATCATTTGGTAGCAATATTCTGGCGGCAACGGGAGTAACTATTTGATTACATACACTTCTCTGGTAATGATAATGAGTAGAATTTTTCCCGGCAATCACAACTCCATGAGACAAGAGGAGTACAACAATGAAAATTTAGAATAGACTCATAATTTTGATGGTGTTCTTAGCTCAAAGAAAATTGGCATTATAAGAGTAAGTTTCTTGAAAAAAAATGACAAAAATAATAAAAATTATTTGTCATTTTTTCGGGACTAAACTCTCGTATGCCCAAAATTCGGGAACACAAGCTTGATCATTGTTTATTTGTTCAGGAAGAGATAACCGAACATTTCTTATTTGTTCATGAATAAATAACCGAAGCAGCAGCAGAAGTAGGCAAATAAGGGAGGTCAGACCACCATTGGGTGGTCGACCAAGGAGTGAAATCCTATCCAGTTACAAGTATAGTGAAGCTATGGATAAATGACAAAAAACTAACCAGAGAAGCATAAAAGTGGTGTTGTGTGTGTGAAAAGAGGTAATAGGAAAAAAAAAAAGTCAAACACAAACCTCGTAATGAAGTAAATAAAAAACTTCTTAACCACACAAAAAAATTTCACTGGTTTTGGGAGGTTCTACCGTTGTGGGTTTTATTAGGGTTTTGGAATAGAGGCTTTTTTGGGAGTGGGGATGTGTATTTGAATGGGTGAAATATTTTTATAATGATAATTTTGATATTATTTGGAGGAAGAAAAGAAATTTTGAGAGTTTTACAATTTAGCAGCGGTGGTGTAAAGAACTAGGAAGTCCAAAATAATTGATAGGGTACTAATAACAACACTCATAAAAAATAAGGCAAATTACGATAGTCGTTATTATATTTTGGTACTTATATCATTTTAGTGTTTGTAATTTCAATTGACTTAATTTTGATTATAAATTTATGATTTTATTTCAATTTGATCCAATTGATTACAACTCTTAACAGTTTTTAATGAAAAATATACATATAAGTGAAATGTATCATATTTTTAAAAGCAAAATTATAAAGTCACTAAACTTAATGAGTCAATCTCAATCAATTCAGCAATTGTTTTCTGTCAAAATATTATCAATTCGATTAAATTAATATAAAATTTAAAATTAGAAGTTAAAATTAAATCAATTAAAAATATAATGATTAAAATAACACAAAGGGACAAAATATAGGGATTAGTAGGGTAATTTGGGTTTTTTTTTTTTTTTTTTTTTTTTTTTTTTTTTTTTTTTTTTTTTTTTAATCCAAAAGAAAAAACTGTTGTCAAACCAGCGATCTATGGGTCCGTTAGTCAGAAGCTAGAGGTAAATCAGATCATCATCGTTCAGATTCCAAATCGACGATCACTATTCGAAACCTCCCGTCATGACTACTCCGGCGATTTCAGGAGTAATCACTGTCTCTCTTTCTCTCTCTATAAATATATCTGTGTATTCGTCTCTGTATATCACATGAATGTGTAAATTCAGTGTTGAAGCACCAGTAGATCTGAGTTTCCTTGGTTTTCTGTCTCTAAACATAATTCAAAGAGTTGTTACAATGTTCTTAGCTCTCATTGTTGGCTTGGCTACTTGTAATTGCATGAATTCTTCATAATTTCATGGATATGTATAGTGATTGGGTTGAATTAGCAGGGCACGAGCTTGTTTAGTGGATTGACTCGGCTGTGCAAGGGTCTTGCGGTAGTACTTGTCGGCGGACACATTGTGGTTCAGATCTTACCTTCTTCTCTCACTTATCTTGCTCTCATCCCCGCCAGGTTCTTCTCATCTCAAAAAAACTCTCATAGTTTTAGGGGATTACTAATCTCACTCCCTTTTGTGATCATTCCAATCCAAAATTTGTCATTTATTCATGTTTGGATCGCGGGGTTGAGAAAAGAAAAAGATATGATTTTGGTGTCTCATTTAGGTTAAAAAGGAAATGATTATGTTGTATAGGGATATAGATGTGATTTTCTTTTCTTCCTATATGTTTTGAATGGACAATCTTGTATTATGAAAAATGTACAATCAATCAATTTGTTTCTCAGTAAATTTCACCACTTTTGATGAGAAATGAAACCTATAAAATAAGAGATTTTTCTCTCTCCATTTCTCATAATTTTGGCCCTAACTTAATAAACTAAATATGAGACAAGAGTTCTCCTTCTCTTCATTCTGTATCATTTCTCACCAAATCACTTAGAAATTGTATTATGTATAGGTTTTTAGGCTAATGACAAAATATGGACTGTTTTTATAATAATGGGAGTGCGTATAGCATTTCCCTAGTTTTAATTTATTTACAATTTTCATCATTTAAACACAAAAGCGCACACAAATCATATGAATCAATGTATGGATGAATGGAAGTATAGATTCGGAGTAGAAGTGCAGTTTGGTTGGGCATGGACCTTGATAAATATACAAATGATGACTCACACAAGAATGTGTATATTTCGCTGGGCAAGTATTGTAATCCCTTCAGTCATGGCAAAGTTTCTTGTTTTCTTCTATCTCTAATGGCTGGCCTTTGTCTGTATATAACACGCATAAACTCAATCTGGCTTGCATTTTACATCATTTTTCTTCTTTTCTCTTTCTGTTTTTGCTCTCTGGTCTCCACTTGTTTGAAATACTTGGATTTATTCATTTAGGGCTTGAAACTTCAAGATTCAATCTTAATCTTTCGTCCTACTTTTGAAATTGTAATTGTTATTGAATTTTAATTGGTGTTTTCATTCCATATAGCAAAATGATGGATGTCAGTATGTTGTTATATAGACTTCACTAGTTTGGTTGTATTATTTGTATCATTGTACCTTAAAATATTTGTTTATGTTTGTTTTATTGTTATGAATTATCTACTCTAGTAGCATTTCTAAATATATTAGATAGTGAATTCCGTTGCTAGATGAAATGAAATGTTCCACATTTAGCCTTAAAAGTAATAAAAAAATTCAATCTTACTTTACAAAACATGTTTTTAGGTGCCACTATGTTGATTAAAACCATCATAAACATTCAAATTGTGATAAATAAGGGCAGAACATGCTGATCAATGAGTCTTTTTTTTTTTATATATATATATATAAAAAATCAAAAAAAATCAGGCCCATTTGTCTTTGCTCTCATATCTGATATGCAACCAAAGACATTCTTTAGGACTTGTTTGGATATGAGTAGTCCCAAGCATACTTGGGATATAGTTTATGATCATTGTCCAATCAAGCCTTATGTCTCAAATCTCGGGTCTAAACCCAAATCCATAATTCTATAGCATGTGGATCCCATGCGCACCAATGCACATGATTGCATTTCTTCTCTCAGTTGCAAACTTGCAAAACCTAGATTTGAATGACTAACACTACAAGAAATTAAACTTTTAGTTACCCAAATTTTTAGTCGCCGAAGGCTCTTTTTAGTCACCAAAAGTCATTGGTGACTAAAGTTTTTCATTGCCCATTTAGTCGCTGAAGCCTTGTCGGCAATAGTCAATGGCGACTAAATACACGTTGGTCGCTAGCTTGTTTGGTTATAATTTTCTGAAAACAGTTTTAAAAAAATTCTACTTTTTTATTTTTTGTATTTTAATGTTTTCAATGATTTTTTTTTAATATTTTAAGCATTTTTTTTTAATTTTTAGACACACCTAACGTAAATACACTTAAAAAGTATAATATTTGTGAAATAAATCTTTAAAAAATACACTAAATATCAAAAAATACAAAAAAAAAAAAAAACGAAAATTCAGTATATTTTTGGTATTTTTTGTGCATTTATTAATTTTTTAAAATATTGTTTCACAAATATTTTACTATTTAGATTCCTCTAAGTAAGGTGCATCTAAAAAAGTAAAAAATTACTTAAAATATAAAAAATATTCACTAAAAACAAAAAAATACGAAAAACAAAAAACTTAGTTTTCAGAAAACTGAATTCAGAAAATTGAAATGAAACATCTTTGGCTACTAAAACAAACTTAGTCGCCACAAAGTAACCATTGGCGACGAAAGATTTAGTGCCGAAAGTAATCAAATAAAAATGAAATTCTCTTTCAGCGACTCCAATATTTAGTCGCTAAAACCTTTTAGTCGCCAATAATAATTACATTTAGCCTTCATTTGGGATGTGGGTTGGTATTTTGGCTATTTTGTCTTGGCACTAAAAAATCTCGTTTGGGATAAGCTTTTTGACTTTTCTGACTTTTATGAGAGAGAGAATGAAATGATTATGGTTTGGATGTGACATTTTGTCTTATTGGACTAAAAATTTTTATTTATTTTTTTTTTTTGTGGCTAAAACCCCAACCCAACCCAAACTGTCATGCCAAACATAGCCTTAGCGACTACATAATTTAGTCACCGTTTTATGCCACCATTAGCCACCAAATAGTTTAGTCGCCGTTATTTTTCACGACTAAACATTTAGTTGCCAAAATACTAGATATTTTCATTGCATTGTATTTTACGGCCAAACATTTTAGTTATCAAAGGTGTATTGTTCTTTCGTGACTAAAATATTTGGTTGGCAATATTGTTTCGGCTACTAACTATTTGGTCGCTATAAGTTTTTTGTTTTTTTGCTACTAAATATTTAGGCACAAAAAACCTTTGCTTACATTTTTGGCTACCAAATATTTAGTCGCCAAAAACTTTATAATCTGTTTTTTTGTTTTTAATTAGTTTCTCGACCACTTGTTCAATTCATTAGTAGTGCAACCTGTACCCTGTATATAAACAAAATAATGCATGTACTGATTATATCATCAACCATTCTACATGATGCACACATTTCACTTTCAACCATCCAAAAAATTCATATTTAACGCCAAATTTCAAATGTAATAGAAATTCCATACAAACGAAATATAATCCAATCTGAAAAATGTAATTCCATACAGAATAGAGGATTAAACAAAAATCATGCCCTTTGTACACAAAAAATTAATATCCACAATATCATGCCAAAAGTTAATCTGTACCACACCAAAAAACTAGTTTGTGCCACGCCAAAAGGTAATCTGTACCACGACCAAAAAGTAATCTATACGAACAATAGTAATCCGTAGACTACAAACAATGTCCTCCGTAATTTTCCAAAAAAAGTGGTATCCACAATTCCACGGCAAAAACTATCTGTAAAAATAAAATTAATCATTATTATTGACTGAATATTGGCATATTTAAAATTATAAAAGAAAAATCATATAAAACTCGAATGTAATTGATCTTTTCAAATTAATCATTAGTTTTGCATACTCAAATGTATATAAAAGAAAATTATGTAAAACTCGAACGCATATATATATATATCAGGCAACTAGTAATATTTTGCAGGTAGTTTCGTCAGTCGTAGTGAAACAATTAAACACTTTGTTTTGTCTGTGTTGTCATACGCGGACTATAGAAAGTAATTAATGGCAAAATAAGTCTGTAACTAATAAACACTAAATGCTAAGCATGATGTGTTATCAAATGATATTCTACAAGCCAAACTGTGTTCTTCAGATCAAGTATAAACTCAATAAACAGAACTTCAAATGCTTTTAGTGGCAATTACAACGGACTGACAAATTGGAGCACCTGCCATCCAAAGTAAGATCTAAAAGCTAATACAAAATATGAAAGAGTATGCACTGAATCTCAGTTTAGTTGAAACTTTTTTGGTTTGGGGGAGGGGGGGGGGCTGGTTGCATTCCAGTCCATTGCTTGTGAACCAAATGTCTGGTACAACTACCAGAAAACTAAACCAAATATACATATTAAGACATATTAATGAAGCATCATCTTGAAGAAAAAGTTAATTCAGACAAGGATATTGCCGCTGGTGGGTGATCATTTTGGTAAAAACGCTTCTCTGTATTTAGTGAAATAGGGAAGGATTCATGGAGGTGACCTTATATTTATAGCAGGTGTTGCCTGTTTAGTCCTTTGAATCTAGTGTATTGGGATTCTTAGGATTGAAGCATACCCTCGCTCCAACTACAACTTGGAAAAATTCAAATAACTTCTAAGGTTGTTTTCTTCTATCATCTCCAGCTATGCACGAAATGCTGATCATTGTGGTTCATAGAACAATAAAAGGAAGACATCTCTAAAATATGATGTGATAAACGTAGGCTTAAATTGATCACTTGGTTGAGATGCATCGTGTAATGCCTCTCGAGGTACTGCTAAATACAAGAGTGATAATGTAAAATGCACCATTCTTTGATCCTCATGGAATGATTTGGTTGGGGGGTTGTTTTGCAATTTTGCCCCCTGAACACCCTTTTCCGACTAACTGTAAGGCATTTTTTATCTGCATGTCCTATTTACGTACTGTATGTCCCCACAGGTCATATTTGGCATAGGGAAGCTGAATTATACGTCCCAACAGTGGTTCGAGGGTTGTTTTGTATTTTCGCCCCCCAAATGCCATTTTTGGACTAACTTTAAGGCGTTTTCGACTCTTAACTCCCAATCTACGTGTCCTATTCATGTATCATCTGTCCCCAAAGGTCATATTTGACACGGGAAAGCTGCCCATTACATCCCAACAGTGGTTCGAGGCCTATTTTGCATTTTCACACCCCCAAGCGTCCTTTTTATACTAACTTTAAAGCGTTTTCGACTCTAACTCCCAATCTATGTGTCCTATTTATGGACCATCTGTCCCCACAGGTCATATTTGGCATGGGGAAGCTGCCCATTACATCCCAACAGTGGTTTGAGGGCTATTTTGCATTTTTGCCCTCCAAACGCATTTTTTTAACCAAGTTTAAGGCGTTTTTGAC